AACTGATAGTTTAGTAAATATCAGTACAAAGCATGATTGGTAATAAAAGTAGTTTTTAACGTTTGCTATTTCTGATGTTCTCTGTTCCAGATGTGGACCCGAAGTCGGTTCTCTGCGTGCTTTTCAAATCCGGTATATGCACGAAGGGAGACAAATGTAAATTCAGTCATGACCTGAGCATTGAAGGAAGAGCCGAAAAACGAAATATATATGTCGATAAGCGGGAAATCACCGGTAATTTTATCGATTTCATTACTTTTGCCACTGAATTACGTGTTATCGTTTACAGACGACGATAACATCGAGAACTGGGACGAAGAAAAGCTGAACGAGGTGATAGAAAAGAAGCATGGGGAATCGAATCGCAACAAGCCGCGTACAGCCATTGTATTTACTAGCCTACAATACTTTCTTCCATTTAAGTTTATATCTGAGCTTCTCTTTTAGATATGCAAGCATTTCCTAAAGGCATTGGAGGACTGCAAATACGGCTGGTTTTGGGAGTGCCCGAACGGCGACACATGCATATACAGGTAATTATGAAATACTGCTGAATTGCGCTATGAAGATCTTGTACATAATTGGTAACAGTCTGATCAGCCTGCCGTTCTTGAAATAATCTTTTCTTGTTTTGTGTGCGGTAGAATTTCCAATACAGTGGTCCAGTCGTCAGGAATTTTAACATCCTTTAAGCAGCTGGAATATTGGCGCCCTAACTTCGTTGTTTAGAACTCATTTCCCAATTCCATGAGTTCTACTGTTATTTCAGTTTCGCAGTGTTATCCTATGCTTTACTGCATGTTAATCTTCTGGAATTTCATCCGTTTTAGCTTTTTGTTAAATTTCCTTTTCGTCTTTTCAGCTGTCCCGATGACGGTCACTTCTTTTACTTTAATAGCTCAAGCGCGTCGTTTCCGGACTGACAGTTTTTGTTATAATTTGCCTTTCTTCAGTTGTCTTCAATAATTTCCCTTACCAGTCTGCACAGTTGAATGCTTGGGCTCCTTTTATGGGTTTACTTAACGTTTTGCAAAATTTCATGGAATCGGTGTTTTTTCTAATACATTAACTGTCTTCATTTCTCTTCGTTTCAACAATCCCTCAATTTTGGTGATACCTTGTCCGTTGTTTTCGCGGAGGCAGACGTATGAGACAGTGCTTCCAACGTACCCAATCTTGTCCGTCGTTGGAGCGTTAGCAGATGACAACAGCAATCAGGAGCAGACTCCTTTGATACACTTGCCTCAGGTTAATCTATACCGTCCCCTGGGTCTTCTGCTGGTCGGCCAGGCAAGTAGTAATTGCTTTGCCTTCCTTTCTGGAAGTATTTGCAAGAAGTGCCCATCTGTATTGTGATTTCTCCGTGCGGAAATGCAGCGACTGTACACCGAGGCTCTCTCGGATAACTGTACTACGGATTATGTGGAG